TTAGCACTTGGGAAGCAAAGACAGGCAGATCTCTGTGAGTTTAAGGCCAGCTTGGTCTACAGAGTTAGTTCCAGGACAGCCAGGGCTACACAGAGAAACCCTGTTTTGAAACAACAACAACAAAATACCCAAGATGCAAAGTCAAGAAGAGTAGGCTTTTGTAAGACTCACCATTCACAGAATATCTTACTAGATACCCATGGCTGAAATTTAGAGGCAAGTGAGGCAATTCCTTAGGTGCAAAGTTTAAGGGGATTACATCAATAAAGAACATGTTATTTATCAATGTAAAAATTAATACAGGGGCATGGAAATGTAGCTCAGCAGCAGTCAAGCTCTTCCAAAGGTCCTGGGTTTGATTCCTAGTACATACATGGCCAGTTCACAACCATCTGTAACTCCAGTTCTCAGGGATCCAATGCAGTCTACTGGCCTTTGCAGGCACCAGGAAGGCAAGTGATGCTCAAACATACACAGCATATGCTTAGCACTCATATGCTTAATACAATAACAAAAATTAATGCAAAAATTTATAATTTGAAAAACACCGAACTTTAATACATGCTGTTTGAGACTAGATAAATTGTTCTATGTTTAAGCACACCTGTTCTTGCAGAAGACCTGGGTTTGATTTCTAGGACCCACAGGGTGGAAGACAATTGTCTGTAACTCCATACGAAAAGCAAGATTTATGCAGACTTTAAAAATAGCACAGATAGGACAGAAAAAATAGCACAGATAGGTCATAGCTCAATTGGTAGAATGCTTGCTTAGTATGCACAAAACCAAGGGTTTGACCCTCAGCACTGCAGATACTGGGAATGGTGGTACACACTTGCAATCTCAACCTTTAGGATAAGGAGAAGATCAGAAGTTCAAGTTACTTAGCAAGTTTGAGAACTGTCTGAGAAACATGAGGTTACCTCAAAAAACAGAATAGAAAGTACTATTGTAATATATCCATGATATATCAAGATGGTATGTTAGATGTGTTAATTTTTGGTTGAAAATATTTTTAACATTTTTTGTTTTAATTATGCATGTGTGTGTGTGTGTGTGTGTGTGTGTGTGTGTGTGTGTGTGTGTATGTGTGTGTACATGTGTAGGTAGAGTTCAGAAGATGTCTGATCTTCTAGAGCTTGAGTTATAGTCAGTTTGGAGTCACCAGATGTAGGTGCTGGGAACCAAACTAGAGTCCTCTGCAAAAGCAGCAAACACCCTTAACCTCTGAGCCATCTCACTAGCATCTTGGTTGAAGATATTTGTGAAGAATATGAGTTGGTATAACTTGGTATGGCCAAAAGATACTGCTCAATATTAAATTTTCCTTGGCAGGTAGGTACATGTAGCCCTTCTTGCTCTCCAAGAGCTATAGTACTGATGTGAGCAATTGATTTAAGTCTAATGGGGTGCATGCCATGCCAGGGTCTCGGGAGCTGTGTTCCAGGTTGGAGAGAAAGAGGCAGTGTCAAGGCTGTCTTCTGTTCTTTCTGCAAGACAAGGACATAAGCTTTCTCCCTATGTATTGATGATAATACCTGGCTGTAAGTATCGAAGGACACCCTGGAGAGAAATGTGCTCAGTGCACTGAATGTTTGACACATGTACATAAGAGTGCTTGGGACATGTATGACTAAAATGTGTTTAATGCATTTCAAAACTCTTAAACCTTTCCACCAGCCTCTGAGAGCCAGCCACTGGGTTTTCCTCCCCAGCGATATAGCCACCAATTTCTTGTGACTCTTTCAAAGATGGCATATATGTGCAGCTAGGCAGTTAGTCTTTTCTCATGCCCTAGTGCTGACATGTAAGTAGTTCATTATATAGCAGAGTGTCCAGCACATTATCAAGAGGGAGGTGCTTCAGAATAGCAGGAACATCTAATCATACTTTATTAGACATTCTAAGTCAGAGGCCCTAATTGATATTTGAGGCTACATCATTCATTGCTGTGGGCAGCCGTTCTGAACACTGTGGCCTATTCCCTAGAGTCTCTGAGCTCCACCCACTGGATGCCAGGAATACACTCCTAGTGCCTATTGTTCCTGGGCTGGGCAGCTGAAAGTGTCCCCAGAGGAAAAGGAGAAACATTGTTCCCACCAAGAACCAGTTTTCTAGTTGTGCAAGCAAGCTCAAAACTCAAGAGGTAACCTGAGTTTCAGAGTAAGATTGTGTCTCAAAACAAAAGAAAATAAAACAAAACACCCCCAACTGAACAACAATCCCACAGTGTTGCAACTTTTGTGTGGCATTTTGTAAAAAAAAAAAAAAAAAAATAGCAGATAATGAAGAGGAGTGAAGTGAGATTCCATGTTATGAAATTATAAATATGTGAAAAGAACATTGGGATCTAAACATCAGAGCCAATTGTGCTTCCACCGCTACTGAAGAAACATTTTGAGATGACAAATTCACTCTCTCTTCCTCTCTCTCCCTTCCCCTTCTTTCCTCTCTCTGTCTCTCTATCTCCCTTCCCTCCTTCTCTCTTTTTGTCTCTCTTACTACCTTCCCTTTACCTCTGCTCTGTCTCTCTCTCCACCTCTCCCTCTGTCTCTCTCCTTCCTTTCCCCTCTCTCTGTTTCTCTCCCTCCCTCCCCATCCTCCTGCTCTGTCTCTCTCCCTTCCTTCCCCTCTCTCTCAGGCACAAAATGAGAAACATGTTTACAGGAAAGAGAAAATGCCATGATTGGCCCTCCATGCCAGCGCCTGACAGGTACAACTGCAGAGAAGGAATGGGATTGTTCCCTTCAGCTTTGTGCTTAGGACTGGAGAGTCTTTAAATAAGTATGAATCATGCATCAAAAGTAAGCTGCAAGTCTGCAGACTTCTCTTGCTATTAAACTGTGTTGGTGTGGTGAACTGAGATTGCATAGAAGAGGAAGAATAAGAAGAAAACTAAAACACTCTTAATCCTCTTTGCCAGGAGTTACCACATTTTGATTACTTGGTGAATTATTCTTAATTATTTTCCATGTTCATGCATGAACGTTTGTGTGTAATTAGCTGCAACTATATTACACCCACGTACAACAGATTCACTTGATACATAATGTTTTGAAGCCCAATTGTGTTCCATGTAATCCAGTTTGAATGTCTTTTTCTCCCTAAGTATCTACCATCATAGTAATTTCTATTGATTATTATTTTTTGGATATTTGAGGATAGAACATATTGCAAGAATTATTTCACTCTGTTGGAAATTCCATAGCCCCATTTTAAGGTATGTTGTTGTTGTTGTTGTGTGTGTAAGCGAGAGACAGGCAGAAAGTATACATGTATGTATGGTGTGTGTGTGTGTGTGTTTACTTTCAATTGAGCAATCATCTAGAAAAAAGAGAAGGTGAAACTAACCTGTTTAAAAATAATCTGTCCCCGGATGAGGAAGGTGTAGACATTTAGTCATTTCAGTCAAGCGGAACACAAAGGAAGGCTGTGGGCAGTAGGGAGAGTCATATAAGCTGCGCTGTGGTCCTCCACTCCCCAACCCTCTCCCCGCCCCCATCCCGGGAAACTACGTTCGCGGAGCACCAGCCACTGGAGGTGGGGCGTCCTGTGTTACAGAAATAGGGTTCTCTCTAGACACCTTTCCATGGAGCATAGAAAGCAGACCACATTACAAAGTGTCTTCCAGAGCCAAGAGGTGGCCAAGAGGGCAGGGCTGGGCTGAGTGGCTGAGCGGAACACGTGATCTAGCCAGACTGCCTCCTGGGCCCTCAGTGAGCCTGAAGCTGAAATCAACATTTGCCTCTGGCAGGGAAATGAACTTGTCAGTTTCTGTGTGTTTCAGACCCTCAATTCAAAGGAGCTAGGAACGGCAGTACTAATTTGGCTTTGTGTATCAAGAACCTCACAGCTATAAGGTAAGTTGTTTGTCACTCTGTAAAACAAACCTGAGAGCAATGACCTAGAAATCCATAGAACCTCTGTCAATTAAAAAAAAAAATCTTGAAAATAATAGATTGCTGACAGAGCCAAGGGCTGTATTTAATCTAAATTAGAGTTTGACCTTGTGTGCAGAAATGTGGTTAATCTGGAGGCAATGGTGGTAAAGGGGACGACGGTTAAATATAGAAGGAAATAAAAGCTGTTGGGTGAAGTGGCCAGCTAACTTAACTCATGCCTGCTTGTAAAGCAATCTGTTTAAGGTGTCTTTCAGGAGAGTGATCATAAGTTATATTATAATTGCGATTTAAACTTAAAACAACACCTGTGAAACTGGAATACAAATGAAAAGAGCTTCTACCATTTCCCACTTACATCTCCACAATATTTGTGTGGTTTGGCAAACAACATTGATTTTGTACACGGACTACTTTAAGTTCTAAATGTGCTAGCTCCAGCTTATGAACTGATCACAGAATCTTCTAAAGCTTTTAAGGAAAGGCTGTTTGACTGTGAATGAAAAAAAAATGTTGACAACATACATTATAATAGTAAAGTGACTCACTTCTTCAGAATGTCAGAAAAATCAGCTAACCCAAAATAATGAGTTGTTTTCAACAAACTTGTGCTCAAGACATAAAATGTCTTCCCAGGAGTTAAGAAAAATAAACACAGACACATGCAGCTGTAGTCTGTCAGTGTTTTATTTTAAATAGTCAAACACTACAGTTAGTATTATTAATATTTGATGCCACTGTTTGCTTTCCCTTTAGCAAATAAAACTAATGTAATGTAGCTACTGAGAATAATTCAAAGTATCAGTCATAGGGGCGATTAGCAGAATATTCATTCCATCAAGTACTGCTTGGGTGTAGTATTTGGTATATAATTTGGAACAGTAAACCTCAAATGCAGTGTGTTCATGCATGGTCTATTTAAGATGTCATTTTGATTTTCGTAGATAAATCTTGATAAAGTAGAACACCAGATTGTGCTCCTTTCCACAATAATCTCCTTATTGCTACCTTTTTTTGAAATCCTATTATATACTTGGAACCCGTAATAATGCCTATTGTTCCTGTGTACTGTTTCCTCTAATTTCCCAACAAGGACAAGAAATAGGCATGCACCAAGACAAACACCCTGAAAGGAGGCCAGACTGACCATTACCTGCCTCCCTTGGAACATCCAAGCCCTTCCCACCCCACCCTCGGACCTCCTGTCTTGCTCCCAGACACAGGACTCCAAAGACATCACGTGGCAGCGTGCGGCCCGCCTCCTGATGACATCACAGCGATCGCGGCAGACGTGCTGAAGAAAGGATGCTCTAGGATGCTGTCCAGGTGGACGGCCACGCTGCAAGATGCGGCACTGCAGGTAAGGGGTGCGCGGTGCCCGGATGCCCTTCCTGGAACTCTCAACAGTGCAGACGCAGCAGGCAGAGCCAGGTCGGTGGACCGCTGTCCTAGCAACGCCACCTAAAAGCGAAAGTGGGGCCTTTGGCTGCTGCAATACTTGCTGCCCACAGCTGGTTCCTCCTGCTCCTTTTGCTGTTGCAAGCATTAGGTGGGGAGTGGCCTGGTGCAGGTCCATGCCTGAGTTGGGTCTTGGAGTGTTCACCTGCAGAAAGTGGGCAGGGGCCAGACAGAAAGATAAGAGCATCTTTAAAGGAGGGGGAGAAAAATTTGTACAGACTACAATACATGGATTCTAAGGACAGAGACCAAGAGCAAGAGCCGCTTTGAAAAGACAACCATAAACCAGTTTCCTTCTGCCATCATGCTGGCTCAACAAAGATATCTTTAATTCTTCTTACAGAGGTTGCTTCTCAGCAGGGAGCCTAATTTCATTCAAAGCAAAAACTTGCTGGGAATGGCAACTTCTTAGCTGCAATATCAAGGCCAGATGTGCAGTCTAAATCGCTTTGCATTATTTTGCAAGGTTCCAGCATTCAAACGTATTTGTTTTGTTTTTTCAGGCAGGTGTTTTTAGTAGATTTAAAAATAACAACATTCAATACAATATAGTTTGCAGAGATAATGGGCCACTGTAAAACATGGCTATATCTCTAAGAAGAAAATGGGTACTTAGCCAGAGCTGGGGGTTGGAGATAACCCAGACCTTCAGAATTTCCAGCATTCTTCTTAATTGCTTTGCTGCATAATTAGCTCACTAAAGGAAGGGGCTTGATGACTCAGCGGCAGATGGAGGGGTCAGGTGACTTCAGTCCCAGCATGACAGCCTGTGTGTGCCTGTTTTGGGGGTGCATTTTAATGCCTTCTTTGCCACCAATCCTGTTTACATTCTTTTCTTCTGGTCTGTGTCCAGGACATGTGTGGGCACTCTAGGGAGGAGGATTAACATTCCCTAGCATTCTTTTCTGAAAACCTGATGTCTCTAGAAGGTGAGGCATCAGCCAATTGCACTAGAACTTACCCTCTGAAAAATTCCATCCACCAGCAACTTTGGTGAAACAGTGCTATTCAAACTGATAATTAAAGATGGAGTTTCGTCCAGAGTTTGGGATATCTTGATAGGTTGTTGTGTCATTCATTCAGTGTTTTCTTTATTTTGAGTTTCTTCCTTTGGTTTAGGTTGACTACAAGCATTAAGATTAGCCAGTACAGTAGCTCAGTGTCAGGTCATGTGCTTCATAATTGAGAGACCCTGGATTTCATCTCTAACAGCAAAAACAAAGCATTCTCAGGTCCCCAACCTTTCTTCTGAACTAACTCTTGTCAGCAAAGCAGGTAATTGAGGCAGGTGAAATAGACACTTGGATCTACTTCTGGTTTTGCACCTGTATAATTTTGGAATAGTCACTATTATCTTTTCAGATAGACCTCAGCTTTCTCATTTTGAAAGTAACAAAGTCATTTGGTTTATGGTTTCTTAACTTTAAAATGGCAGTGAGGGGTATCCGATTCATTGTAGGATGTTTATCTTAGTCTGTGGCCTCCATCTACAGATGCCAGTATGAGGCTCTTCCTTCTGTTGTGACAACCCAAAATGTCACCAGACATTGCCACCTGCTTAAGGATTCCATTGACCCTGGTTAGGGGTTACAGATTTTTTTTTAAAGGTTTCTCTTTTTTTTACTAATTAATTTATTTTTCTTATTTTAAATATCAATCCCAGTTCCCTCTCCCTCTCTCCTACCCTCCCTCCCTCCCTCTTTCCAACTCTCCCATGCCCCCTGACCAACCTCCTATCCCATTCCCCCCAACACTCCACAGGGAGGGTGGTGCCTTTCAGGAGGGGTCAACAAAATCTGTCAAGTCATTTAGAGAAGGGACTAGGCCCTCCCTCCTGCCTCTAGATTAAGGGAGTATCCCTCCATGGGGAATGTGCTCCCAAAGTCCTTTCCTGCACCAGGGATACATCCTGGTTCCACTGTCAGAGGTCCCTTAGACTTCCCAGGCCTTCTAACTGAGACCCATTTTCAGGGGGTCTGAGTTGGTCCAATGCTGTTTCCTAGCTATCAGTTTGGGGGCCCATTAGCTCCTCCTTGTTCAGGTCAGCTGTCTCTGTGGGTTTCCGTAGCCTGGTCTTGTCCTCCCTCTCTGCATCTGGATTCCAGTTCAGCTCAGTGTTTAGCTGTGGGTGTCTATTTCTGTTTCCATCAGCTACTAGATGAGGGCTCTATGATGGTGGATAAATTAGTCATCAATCTCATTATCAGGGAAGGGCATTTATGGTAGCCTTTCCACTGTTTCTTAAATTGTTAGTTGGGGTCAGTCTTGTAGGTCTCTGGACATTTCTCTAGAGTCTGATAGCTTTATTCTTTTTTTACCACCCTGGTACTGGGTTGTGCATTGTATGTTAGGCAAGCTCTTTACTACTGAGCAATAGTTCTGGCCCATAGACATCCTTTAAATGTTTTTCCAGCTCTTATATTCCAGAATTTGTTCTTCTGAGTTGTTCAATGTAGAGTCCTTGGTCTGAAATCATCATATTTGGTATACATGAATTATAAATGTGAAGGCCTTCTTTATTGAAGATTACCATTCACAGTTTCTGAGGGAAGAGGAGAGGGGTACATGCATGGCATTTGTAGTCCAGGGGCTCAGCTGACGCAAAAGTGAGTGTTAAGGACAAAGAAATGTTCATCAGCCAATCATGTGCTGAAATCTGCTGGGACACATCTGCCTGTGCACATAATAAGTCTCAATCTGGGGAGAAATGTCCAGTGAAGATGCCATTCTTCTCTTCCCAAGGGTGAGAATGACAGGCTGCACTGGAGATATTTGAAGAATGGAATGAGATGCATTGTTCTGGGGCCAGGTATGGTGAAGTGAGGATAGCAGTAGTGTCCCCACAGGATGAAGAGTCCAACGTGACTGCTGGCTGAACCAGAAATCTGGCAGGTATCTCAGGGAAACTATGCATGCAGGCTTTCAGATTCAGGACAGGACTATGTGTCTTGAAGGTCTGCCTTTGACACTTATGAGGGTAGACAATTGGCCACATCACTTCTCATCTTAGAATAGGTGCAAGACATGTAAGATGGGGCCAATTAGTACTTGCTATCCTACTTCTTCACTTTAGAAAGGACCAGATTGATGGAAGAAAGTGTAAGATAGGAACATCCCAAGAGACATTAAACTGTGGTCCTGGTGCTGTTGCAAGTTGGGAAACATGTTTACTGAGGGTTTGAAGAACCTGAACATATCTTCTTGTCTCCTAGGCTTGAGGTTTGGGGATGTACCCCCTCAAATTCTTTTGTTATGAGTTCATGTCTGTCTGCCACTCCTCTACTGGTCTCAGCCTCAGGAAATGGTGTGCTTTCAGTGAAACAGGCTGTTGCTGATATCTAGGATGATAGCGGCTGGCTGTATCTACTCCTTAGGTGGCTTTCTGCTTAGGCTTCTTTCCCCTGAGTCCAGGTAGCTCCTCTTTTATTCAGAGTGGGCCATCCCAACTTTTGTTACTTCAGAAGGTTTGGCCCCCCACTCTGAGATATCTGGGTTTGCCTCTTCATAATTTAGAGGCATAAAAGCAAATTAGAATGAGGACATGAGGGTATTTTTCATCAAATGATACCTAAGAGACCAAAGAGCCTAATACAATTTGTGGCCCTTGATTGGATCCTAGATTAAACAAACATGTAGTAGCTATCTGGGGGACACTTGAAGAATCATGTATCAGATGATTCAAGGAGTCTAATGATGATTTGGTAAAATGAATCTGAGACTCTTACTGGGTACACTCTTGCATAATCCTCTCCCTTGGCAGTTGGGCCACACCTAGTGACTCACATGGATATAAAATGGTTGAGACAAAGACTTCCGAAACTGGAGTATAAAGAAACGAGACTTCAGTCTTGGGTATGCGTTCTCTTTGGAGTCACTCTAGCACGGCGGGGGAGATGCTATGTTGTGAGCATTCCTATCTTGTGTTGGGAGCCAGAATGGCATGGGTGCACTTGACAACAGATTTTTCAGCCCCAGCTGAGGCTTGATGTGGTGGCAATCTTCTGACAGGCCTGGGGCCTAGGCACTTAGCTCAGGTACACCCAAATTTGTGTACCAAACACTGATAGTTTTAATTGTTAATGCAGCACAATCAGTATCACCTGTAACGAGTCTCAATGAGGAATTGTCTAGATTGGTTTTGATGGTAGGCGTGCGGTGAGATTGTTTAGATTGCCGTAATTGATGTGGGAAGACCTAGCCCACTGTGGGCAGCACCATTCCTACAGTTTGGTTTCTGAATTGTACAAAAGTAGAGAAAATTATCCGAGCAATAAATATCCATGCATTTATTCGCTCCCTGCGCTTAGCTGTTTATGTAATTAGTTCTTGCTGCTTTGACTTCTCTGCAATTATGGACTAATCTGGAATTGTATGCCTGATAAATCCCTTCTCACTTGTAGTTGCATTTGTCGGGGTATTGTAACACAACAATAGGAAAGGAAACCAGGACACACAGTAAGATAAGACATGCTTATTTCTTACTATTGTGTTTTGGGTAATTTGTTACATAGCAATGGATAGTTCATAATATGCTTATGAACATTTTGGAGATGATTATTGAAGTCCTCTGAGGTAAAATGCCACGATAAAAGCAATTTGTTTTTTGTTTGTTTGTTTTGGGGGGTGTTAGTGCTTTTTTTTAGTTCTCTTTAATTATTTAAGTAGAAGACTGAAGAATTATTCTCCTGTTAATTTCAGTGCCTTGTAGCATGGCCCTTCCCTGCTCATCCAGTGGATGTGTTGGACAGGTCAAGTCTCATTATTAGTCTTTTGCTTAACTATGTTTTCAGAAGCAGCCCAAAGACATTTTCTTTCTCATATGCAGAGATGGGCTTCTTTTATACATCATGACTTTAATTATATAGTCGTGAAGAAAATAATACCTTATTTTTGATAAAATAG